AACTAAGCTGGGTACATGGAGGTCAGAGAACAACATGGTGCAGACAGTTCTGTCTCCTTCCACCCTTATGTGGGCTTCAGGGTTCTAACTCAGGCTTATACAGAAAATACTTTTACTTACCTGTGCTTGGCTATCCTTGGAGGCAAGTAACCATCATCTTTGGGAGTTCATCTGTGCCCCCTGCAGGATTATCCCAGCTGGGCTTGTTGATGGCCTCCTGGAAGGAAGGGGAGGGTCCTGAGACCCTTGCCTGAGTCTCTGGTCCTCCCTGTCACTTGTATGCAACAAGTGATTGTTGCGTCTTAATTGTGTGTGGGCTCCAGGAAAAGCTGAGACACTTGGGTGGTGGATGCTCCATCTTTTCCTTATGAGAGAGCTCTCATTCCTGGGATGAGATGCTCTTTACAATTCGGGATTATCATGAATTCACTACGCAGCCCAGGCTGACCTTGAACTTGAGATATTTTCCTGCCTCTGCCTCCAGAATTCTGGGATTACAGGTATGAACCATTGAGTCTGTCTTGAATTTTTTTTTTTTTTTTTTTTTTTTTTTTTTTTTTTTTTTTTTTTTTTTTGTGACGGGTTTTCTCTGTGTATCCCGGGCTGTCCTGGAACTCACTCTGTAGACCAGGCTGGCCTCTAACTCAGAAATCCACCTGCTTCTGCCTCCCAAGTGCTGGGATTAAAGGCGTGTGCCACCACTGCCCAGCTTGCAGATGAGTTTTTAAAATTTCTGTTGTCCCCTATTTTATTTCCTTGTCTCCAAGTGCCTATTAGACAACAGATGAAGTGCAGAGTTCAGGTAGGACTCCTGGGGGTGGGAGTGGGGTGCAGGAAAAGTAACAGAGACCGAATTAGCCTTTCTTGTTTATTTATTTAGTTTTTTAGTTTTTTTTTTTTTTCAGTTTTTTCGAAGCAGGGTTTCTCTGTGTATCTCTGGGTGTCCTGGAACTCACTGTGTAGACCAGGCTAGCCTCGAACTCAGAAATCCACCTGCCTCTGCCTCCCAAGTGCTGGGATTAAAGAGGTGCGCCACCTGCCTGGCTCTTGTTTATTTTTAAATACTGAAATATATAGCCCAAGGATACATGGTGTATGCACAGGTCACAGGTAGATTAACAGACACCTGAGTCTAAGCCTGAAGACCATGAACACAGCCAGTGCTCTGGAGCCCTTGTTCCTTGCCTTAGAGTAATCACCATTCTGAATTGGTTCCATAATCTTTGCTTTTTTTTTATATTTTACAAATACACACACACACACACACACACAGAGAGAGAGAGAGAGAGAGAGAGAGAGAGAGAGAGAGAGACTCCCAAGCAGTCAGTTTTTCTACTTTGCTCATTTTGTAATTTAGCATAAATGAATTTATTGTAGAATTTGTTTCTAAGCTTTATCCATGTAGTGTGTATAGGTTCATTCATTTGAGCATTCTATTGTTCTATTGTTCTATTGTTCCACAATTTATCTACCTGTCCAAAGGTATTAGTATTCTTTATAGATTTTTTTTTTTAGCTTAATGAGTACTGCTAAGAACATCCTGGATCTTTAGGCTTTCAGCCCATGGGTAAAAATTATTTCTCTGGTATATATGTATGTGTGTGTGTGTGTGTGTGTGTGTGTGTGTGTGTATGCATGTGTGTATATGCCCTGGAACAGAATTATGGGGTCCAATTACTTTTCAGAACTGATGGACCAACTGATGTCCTCCAGCAGTGTTTGTGTTGCAGCATATACTCCTGTGGTCTTGGTGTCTCTTCCACCTCCCACAGCATCCCTAATTTTGGGTGTCTCTGCGGGTGACCAGAGGACAGTTCTTTCTCAGTCAGAGCCATGCCCCTTTAAATGACCCAGTGAATCTGTAGAGGTGTTTTTCTGTACCCCTGTATCCCTAACTGAACAACAGTGAGTACCTGGGACCGAAGGAATGTCAGTCATGAGGTCTTCTCCTGTGTTCATCAAAACCACAGGGTCCTCTTGTGGGTTTGTTACTTATGCTCCACCCCAAAGTGCACCCCAAAGCCCTGTCTCCTGGGATGACAGAAGATACCTAATTAATTTTTTCCCATCACCCTCCCTCCCCGTGGCCTTTCCTGCTTCTCAGATGAACACAGTTGCCGATACTCTCTATCTGTGTTTCTTGAAGTGTGGTCTAAATGACAGAAACAGTTACACCAGGGAATGTAGCTCTGCCAGAGACTAAAGGGTGCTGGGAGCCAAGCACATTCTCAGACCCTGTCATATGGACAGATGGACTCGCAGAGCTGCTGCTCCACAGTTTTCTGCATAATGAGCTCCCCAGGTGACAAGCACATCCCGATTTGGGAGCTGCTGCTTTGGGGACTACTAGAACAGAAGCCAGGCCAAGGTCATCTCCAGGCAGTTTCAGCCACCCTCCCAACAGCTCTTTCAAGAATGAGACAGTCTTCATCTACTGCTGTTGCCTCTTACAGGGCAATAAGGACACAGAGAAACTGAAAAGACCTGCCTGCCGAGAGAAACCTGGTCAGCAACAGAGTAAGAGAATTTTCCAATAGAATACTCCCCACAACCCCAGACAGAGTTTCTCTGTGTGTGGATCCCTGGCTGTCCTGGAACTGGCTCAGTTGACCAGGCTGTCCTTGAACTCACAGAGATCTGCCTGTCTTTGCTTCCCAAGTGTTGGTATTACAGGTGTGTGTTACCACTGCCAGGATTATTTCTCTTTAAATTTTTTTTTTTTTACAAATTTATTTTAGGGACTGGAGAGATGCTCAGCAGTTAGGAGCACTGGCTGCGTTTCTAGAGAACCCAGGTTTAATTTTTAGCACCTGAATTGCAGTTCACAACTGTCTCTAAGCCAGATCCAAGGGGGAAATTCTGCGCCCTCTTCTGGCCTTCATGGTCATTGCATGCATGTGGTGCACAGACAAACACAAACAAAACATCCACATATACAATAGTAATAAAGTATTCAAGAACACTTTTTTTAAAAAAGTTGTCGTTTTCACCGGGCAGTGGTGGCGCACGCCTTTAATCCCAGCACTTGGGAGGAAGAGGGAGGCGGATTTCTGAGTTCGAGGCCAGCCTGGTCTACAGAGTGAGTTCTAGGACAGCCAGGGAGGGCTACACAGAGAAACCCTGTCTTGAAAAACCAAAAAAAAAAAAAAAAAAAAGTTGTCGTTTTCATTTTATGTGTGTAGGTGTTTTGGCTGCATGTGTTTATTTCTGTGTATCATTTGTGTGCCTGTGGAGGTGCCGGAGACATTGGGTTCCCTGCAGCTGGGGTTGCAGATAGGTCTGAGCTGCCCTATGGGTCCTGGAAATTGACTCTGGATCTTTTGGAAGAGCAGACAGTGCTCTTAACCGATGAGCCATCTCCACGGCTCCATTTTTCTAAAGGATCTATTTTATTTTTATCGTATTTCTGTGTTCTGGTATAGGCATGTGAGAGAAGTGTCTGAGGAGGAAGAAGAGGGTGTCAGATACCCTGGAGTATGAGTTATAGGCTATGCTGGGCCACCTATCCATATCCACAAATCTATCCATTTCTTTTGCAAATCTTCAGTTACAAAAATCTTTAAAAACTAACTTGTATGAGTGTATGGCATAGGTGTGTGTGTATACATTTGTGAAAACCAGAAGAGGCCATTAGATGTCCTCTATCATTGCCTCCCTATTCCTTTGAGACAAAGTCTTTGAACTTGAGGCTTCTGTTTTTTTCTTTTCTTTAACCAGTAAGATCCAGGTATGCCTTACTTGTTATGTGGAAACTGAGGTCCAAATTCTGGTCTTCATGAGAACCCATCAAGCATCTCGACAGCCCACAGTTTATAACTATGCCTATCTATCATCTATCTATCCATCCATCCATATATCTACACACATACACACACACACACACGTATATATGTGCAAAGATTGACAACAAAATGCCTCAAGGCATAGATACAAAATGCCAGAATTTTATCCTTTCCTTTGTGAGTCCAGATTCAATGCTTTTTAGCCAAATCAGTTCCTTTTTGGAAAAAAACAAACAAAAAACAAAACAAAAAAAACCTAAAAGGGGTTTACTTTTACACGTATGGGTGTTTGCTTGCAGGCTCGTGTACCATGTGCATTCGTGCCTTCCGGAGGGCACTAGGGACTAGAGATACAGCTGGTTCTCAGTCACCGTATTGGGGCTGGGACTCGAACCTGTGTCTTTTGTTAGAGTAGCCAGTGCTCTTAATTGCAGAGCCATTTCCCCTCCCCCCACCACGCCCAAAACACTTCCTTCTTATTTTTTCCAAAGTACTTTCTTTTCTTTTGGTTCTTCGAGACAGGGTTTCTCTGTATAGCCCTGGCTGTCCTGGAACTCACTCTGTAGACCAGGCTGGCCTCGAACTCAGAAATCCGCCTGCCTCTGCCTCCCAAGTGCTGGGATTATGTGCCACCACTGCCCCGGCCCCAAAGAACTTTCTATGTGCCAGTTATTTATTTGCCCCTCTCACAGGTCTATCTGTAACTACTGACTGTGTCATCACGTAGACTTGCTGTACAGTATGTGTTAATTACCATCAAACCCAAGAGTATCCTTTTCTAGTCTTCCTATTTCCTGCCCAAGACTAGATTTAGTACGATTTAGAAAGGCTGGGGAGAGCTGCAGAAAACTACATTAAAAAAAAAAAAGTTTACAGCTTGGTGGGGTAGCTCACCCCTACAATCCCAGCACCCAGGAAAGCCAGGGGAGGAGGGTGGTTCCAAGTCCCTGACCAGCCTCCAGCACATAGCATAGTTCCAAGGCTGCGGACTATTGAGGGCGTTTCTCCAACTGCTAACCGAAAAAGACTCCGGGTCTACCACGCCCCCAAATCCTGGTGGAAACACGCCTCCATCTCCAAGTATCGCGACAGCCTCTTCCTTCTTTCGGCTTGGCCAAAAGTCTCGCGAGAGTAGCCTATCCAATCACGGCGCTGAGTGGCTGCGCAAGATGGCCGCGCGCTTGGAGCGTAGCATCTGCGTTTTTAGGAGCTTGGCTGTGTGAGTGGGTTGGGATTCTGCGCTTTTGCAGGCCCAGCCGCACACTCTGTCCGGCTACTGCATTGGCCTACGAGGTGCGTGGTTCAAAATCTCTTATCCGGTTGCGCACAAGGATCGCCTAAGAAGTGGATCATCTGTTTTTATCCTCTGGTTCTCGGATCCTCAGGGGCTTAACGTTGGATCAGAAGCCGGGGACCCGGGGCGGGTGTGTGCGCGAACGCAGGTGGTAGGTGGGAGGAGTTGAAGGAGAGATTTCCTCATCGCCCTTCTAGGCTGCTGTTTAGAGAGCGCTGAAACCGAGGCGGGAAGAAGGCGTGGATGAGCCAGAGAAGTGGCGGAGGATAAGTCAAATTTGTGAGGTGGGGACGTGAAGAGAAAACGGAAGTGTTGGGGCTGAGGTGGGAGACATCTGTTGAGTTTTCTGTTCTTCTTAAAAACTTAAAAAAAAAAGTTTGTACGTATAAATGTTTCGCCAGCATGTATGTCTGTGCACCGCGTGCACACTGCAGGCGGAGGCCAGAAGATGATGATATCATGGGACTAGGTTACAGATGGTCGTGAGCAGCCATATGGGTGCTGGGAATCGAACCCAGGTCCTTTGGAAGATTAGCCAGTGCTCTTGACCGCTGATCTGTTTTTATAGCCTCCATAGTTTGATACTATAAAAGCCAAATTTAGAGTATCTTATAAGCATCTGTATAAGAAGAAATATAAGCTTCTGTATTAGAAGAAATGATGCGTGAAGAGATAAAGGCCAAGAGGAACCCAGGAATTATGAAGTTTTAAAGAGGAAAGAAGGCTGGCCTCAAGGTCTTTTGGCTTTTAGACTCCGTTGAGCCTTTTTTGTTATTGAGACTCCCCTGGGCTGCCTGTTCAGAAAGAGAATGCTGTCTCAGTGGCTTATACAGTGGAAAATATTTCATAGTCATTCTCTTCGTTTTCTGTGGTTGATGACTGAACCCAGGGGCTTGCACATGCTAGACACATGCTCTGTCACTCTGAGCTACATCTCCTGGTGACTTAGTATTCTTTCCAGTCAACCAATAGTTGAGTGCCTCCTCTTACAGGCCTTGTTTTAAGTATTGGGGTACCTTAGTGAACAGATGTTCCCTCATGAAGTTTACTTGTAGGGAAGATTTTAAAAATTAAAACAAATGTGTGCCGAATGTCAAGTGAGTAAATTCCAAAGACTGAAGTCAGGGAGGTAATAAAGTGTGTGTTCCAGTTACAGAGTGTTTTAGTGAGGTGCTCAAGAAAGATATTAATAAGGTGGCATTTAACCAAACACCTAAAGGTGGGGATATGTTTAGTGTTTAGTGTATGTGCATTTCAGTGGGGAAAGCAATTCATGCTAATGGAACGTCAGGAAGTGCAAGTCCAGTGTGATGTGCACATTGGAATCACAGCACTCGGAGGATGCGGAATTCTGGACTAGCCTTGGGTACATAGTTCCCAGTGAGCCTGGGCTACTGGAGACCTTATGTAACAGCAGTAAGAACAGAAAGACAAGTACAAATAATCCTGAGGCACCTGATGGGCAAATGGCTCATAGGCCAGTGTGGCAGGAACAGAGTAAACTGGTGCTAGCAGATACTCAGTTAACTCTGAGGAAAGGGATGGATAGATAGAAATCCAGAAGTTAGTCATCTTGGGTGTAGCAGTCCTTGGTAGAGCATGTGTGAGCTACTGTGTTAAATTCCTAGTTGAAAAGTTTTTTTTAAACAAAAGTTAAAGAATCAGAAGGAGTGACTTTATTGAGTGTGTGTGCTATGACCTGAATAAATAGTGTAGAAAAATGAACTGAATTGGCCAAGATTGTAAGTGAACTTGGGTCATGGATGTTCAGTGGTCGTGCCGGTGAACTGTGTCCTCTTTAATGTGTTGCAGAGTCCTAATGCATCAGTATCTCTTGAACTTGTTAGAGGATTGCCTTTTTGTCCAGCATTACATGAAAGAAAGCCATTTCCCTTTGATATTCTTGAGGCCTGGAGACTGCCCTCGGTTTATGCTGCATTTTACTCCCATGTCTGTAAGGGGCATTGAATATTAGGGAATTAAAATACTGCGGTTTTTACCATTTTGTGCGTGTGTGTATGTAGTTCTGGAGATTGAACCCAGGGCCTTGAACATGTTGGACAAGTACTCTGCTGATAGCTGCATCCCCTTAAGGCGCAGGGTACTGCATGTGGCAGCAAGCTGGGTGTGCATGCTTTCCTCTTTGTGTGTGTTTGTTTCTGAGGCAGGGTCTCACATTGTAGCCAGACTGGCCTGGAACTCACTATGTAGCCCAGGCTAATTGCAAGCTTTGGAACTAAATATGCTGATTTCTTCTCTATCTTTTTCACATCCTCTTCCCTCTCTCTTTAAAGATGGCTCTCAGCAAATCAATGCATGCAAGAAATAGATACAAGGACAAGCCACCTGACTTCGCATATCTGGCATCTAAATATCCAGATTTCAAGCAGCATATTCAGATAAATTTGAATGGGAGAGTAAGGTAGGTGACTCATAAGTGGATGTGTTGTGACAGGAGGCAAGCTGGACTAACAGAAAACCTGAATGGTAGCCATGTGTATCTCATGAAAAGTCTCATGTGACTTTCGAACATGGATCATCCAGCATGGGGACCAATGTTTTTTTTTTTTTTTTTTTTTTTAATATCTAACAAATGAGAAAATTGGAAAGTCTCTTAATGGCTAGCTTCCTGTTTCTACAACAGAGATGCCAGTGTAACTCAGGCTAGGATTGTGCTTTGATCCCAGTGCTTGATGAATGTCAGAATGTCTTATTTTGAGGAAAGTGCTAACTAGAATGTTAAAGCTTACTCCAAGGATGTAGCTTAGTTGTTGCAGTTGACCTGGCATTCATGAAGCCCTATCTCTGTCCCTGAATAAACCAGGCGTGGTGGAGCACTCAGCGGGGATGACGGGGATGACAACATTTGGGAGGCAGGAGGATCAGTTCAAGGGCATCTTTGGCTACATACTGAGTTTGAGGCTATACTGGGTTATTTTGAGACTATTTCAAAACCAAAGAAGAAAGAAATTATTATTATTATTTTGGTTTTTCAATACGGGGTTTCTCTGTGTAGTCCTGGCTGTCCTGGAACTCACACTGTAGACCAGGCTGGCCTCGAACTCAGAACTCCTCGAACTCCTGCCTCTGCCTCCCAAGTGCTGGGATTAAAGGTGTGCGCCACCACTGCCCGGCCAGAAATTATGATAGTGTGAGAATGTTAGAAGATAAGTGTGTTATACCTGAGGTTACAGATGTACATAAGATCATGCCAGACTTGTCAGCAAGTAATCTTAACATACTCCAAAATCTTGTTCTTCAGTCTTTTGTTTAGTTGTGTATCAGTTGGTTTCCTGTTACTGTAGCAAATAGCAATCCTCGTAGGAAGAGAAGAGGCTGCAGTGGCTCAGAGGGCTGACGATTGTGCTCCAAGAAAAGTGACTTTGTTGTTGAGGTAGTGTGTCACGACTAGAAGCTTCTAAGGAACAGTTCATAGCTTAGGCACTGGGAAATGAGAAGAGAAGGGACAGGATCTCCTCACCCCTTTGGAGGTATGCCCTTAATGACTGAAAACACAAGGTTCTAAGGCTTCCTAAATGTGCCAAGCTAGAGACTGATCCTTTTTTTTTTTTTTTTTTTAAATCTCTTGAGTTTAATGCCAGCCTGGTCTACAGAGTGAGTTCCATGACATAGCTTCTTGACTGCTATACTAAAACCCTGTCTTGGGAAAAAAAGAAAGAAAGAAAGAAAGAAAGAAAGAAAGAAAGAAAGAAAGAAAGAAAGAAAGA